GGAACAGTTGATGGCATGTTGATCAGATTTGTGCTGAAGTTATAGATTTTTGCTGATTTTAGCAGGAAAAGGTTTTCCTGTGGTGTCGCGTGTACATTAAAGTAAATGTTCCATTTGGGTTTTTGAGTGGGGTTCTGTTTTTGTTGAGAAACACTTAGGAGTCACATCTGTCAGTTAGTTCCCTTGGCGATGAGTGTGTGAAGTAGGGCTGAACGATTTTGGAAAATAATGTAATTGCGATTTTTTTTTCTTCAATATTACAATTGCGATTTAATTCACAATTATTTTCTCAAGGGGCTTGTCTCATTTTTCAACTAACGGTGTCGGTACAGGATCTGCTCGGCTGCAAGATCGGCTCGGGGTCCTTCGGCTGCCGATGACGTCAAAGTACGGCAAACCCAGTCGGACAAAATACACTACACATCTATACTGTTGGAAAGAATTTAGCAGTTTTGTTATTAAAATAATGTTTCTTAAGACGTAAGTTTGTGTTTATAATGGTATTAGTAAAATAAAACACTATATTGTATTCATAATGTTGAACTCCTCTTTGAGCACATCCCTTGAAGGATCATAGGTATTAGCAACACCTGTGAAATTGTATTTGCAGGGAAGAAGTGTGTCCCGTTTATTGAAGTATTTTGTGTTTAGAGTTTTTGACGTCTTGTCCATGCGTAGTTCAGTTACGCTTATAGCTGCTAGCCAAAACTCTGGAGTTAAGTTTTCTGGCTTTACTAAAATACCTGTCTGTACTTATTTGATTGATGGTAGTTTTACTTTCTATTAGACTCCAAATGTAATCATTCGGCACGTTTCTAATTCATAATTTGTAATAATGTAATCGGTGACATCAGCATTAGCATTCCTATGGGTTTTTCCATGTATATTAGCATTGCGCTAACCACTCGCTGCCAAATTGCAGCCTTTGCGATTAGAAAATCTCCTTTTGTCACATTGCAATTTAATTGCACATGCAGTTAATCGTTCAGCCCTAATATACATGCAGCGCTATGCTAAAAGTGTATTTTCAAAGAGGTAATGATGGATTTCTTTGGAAAAGTTGTCCATCTTTCCAAGAGAAAAATGTGCCTGGACCAACGTAACGTTATTACATAACTTCCGTAAGGTTCATGTTCAGGCAATCGACTACTTTGACATCATCGGCAGTCGAAGGACCCCGAGCCGATCTTGCACCCTAGCAGATCCTGTACCGACAACGGAAGAAAAAAAAAGATCTATGTAACTTGTACTGAATATAAACAAGTTTATGTATCTACATATATCATCAAGTTTATTTGTCTACACATACATGGACACTCACAAGTAAAGACAACATCTTGTATTTGAAGGCGTGATGCTTTGCAGCCAGGAGCACATTCCTTTGAAGAATCATAGGTATTAGCATCAACTGTGAGAATTTATTTGCAGGAAAGAAGGGTGTCCCATTTATTGAAGTCTTTTGTGTTTAGAGTTTTTGACGTCTTGTCCATGCAGAGCTTCCGTAGATCAGTAACGTTCACAGCTGCTAGCCAAAACTCAGTGGAGTTGAAGTACAGTTTTCTAGCAATAGAAAAATATCTGTCTGTACTTATTTGATTAATGGCAGTTTTTACTTTTTATTAGACTCCAATGTAATAATTTGGCACATTCGTAATTCGTATTTTGTAAGAATCTATTCGGTGATATTAGCATTAGTATCCCCATGGGGTTTTCAATGTATATTAGCATTGTGCTAACCACTCGCTGCCAGTCAAATCGCAGCCTTTGCGATTAGAAAATCTCCTAATGTCACATCGCAGTTTAATTGCATATACAATTAATCGTTCAGCCCTATTGTGAAGCAACTCTTTCTACAGTCACTGGGGTGAAGGGGTGGGGGCTGCAGAGTGTGTGGTTTGGTGTTAACTCTGGATGTTTTTGTTTGTTGTTTGTCGGGTTTTAAACTAAAAGTAAAACCGTCTCTAAGGCCTACTACTACTAGGCTATTACATATTAATTATATATCTATAAACTTGTGTACACATTTGTGTGTGTGGCTGACCACAGCACCTTCTGTGGATTGTCCATAGCAATCACCATGTTCAAACATGTGTCCAGATGTGCACTTGGTTTTCTCCGCAGGGTGGCTGGCCTCTCCCGTAGAGATGGGGTGAGAAGCTCGGTCATCCGGGAGGGTCTCGGAGTAGACCTGCTGCTCCTCCACAATGAGAGGAGCCAGTTGAGGTGCCTCGGGCATCTGTTTAGGATGTCTCCTGGACGCCTCCCTGGTGAGGTTTTCTGGGCACGTCCAGCTGGAGGGAGACCTAAAGGAAGACCCAGGACACGCTGGAGGGACAATAGCTGCTTTTGACTAATAACTATGTCCTTAGAGCCATACTCATAGAATTTAGTGCTTATAAGTACCCTTCCCAGAGGAACCCCTTCAGCCTCCAGGGGCAGGGGACCTTGATGGAGACAGATGTGACAAAACCACCTGCAACAGTGACTTGTTAAGCACCACACATGAGAACAGAGTTTCTTCAGTTTTTCCTGCACAGCTTTTTCTAGTTATGTATTTACAAACTCTGAACATCTTCCTTGCCAATCCACTAGTCACAGGTTTAGTCCGTTTTGCTGTTGTGCTGTAAATGTAAAAAATGGCAGGGCCTCAAGAAGCAGAAGTGTAGAGATGGGTGTAGCATCAAACACCTACGTGAATGAGCCATGAGAAGACCCTGCCTCAGAGTAGGAGCTGAAATGGTTGTAGGAACTGATACTGTGGTCCCTAGTTCTCATCAGTCCAGATGTGCAAAACACCGGCCTGGTTGCGTAAAAGGTTACAGGAGCTACAAAAGGTTCCTACAGCCAAAAAGTGGACTGGTTCTTGGCTGGCTAGCGAACATCTTAGGATTATCCTGGAGGAGCTGGCCCAAGTGGCTGGGGAGAGGGAAGCCCAGCCATCTCTGTCCCCGCGACCCGACCCCAGATAAACGGAGGAAGATGCATGAATGAACGTTTTTAATAAACTCCTTTTGTTCAGAATAAACTCAAAGATGGACCACCAGTTCCCCAAGTCAAAACGTTCTGTACAGCTGCATGTGCTAAATGTGAATTAGTTCTCCATCTGTCTTAAACACCGACTCCTCCATGTTTTCAGCACATTGACCAGATTATGAGCTCTCACGGGAAGCAGATCATGCAGGCGGTGACCCTCATCCTGGAAGCAGAGCACAGCGTAGAGGTCAAGGAGCAGGTGAGCGCTCACTCAGCTTCACACTCGCATGATTCCCACGCAGCGGTTCGTCCTGCTGCTGCGCTGCAGAGGGGTTTTCACGGTCAGCAGGTGTTGTTATAGGCTCTCCATCTGAGCTGAGGCTTTATTCATGAATGCCTTTCCAGCTGTGTTCAGCATCTGCAGAGCTGGAAGAATACCAGAGAAAATGGGCTTTTCTCTTCAGAACAGCAGAGAGCTCCATCGCTGGCTGAACATGTTTATGTTTTTGACAGACGCTGTGTATCCTCGCCAACGTCGCCGACGGCAACACAGCCAAGGCTCTCATCATGACCAATGACGACGTGCTCCAGAAAGTCAAGTACTACATGGTACTGCCGAAGCTGCTGCAGTTCTCTGACCCTAGTTTACATGTGTGTTAGAAAACATGGGACTTTTTGTGTTTGCATTCTTCCAGTTAGCCTTTAGCAACACAAAAGGTAAACAATCACTAGCGGCAGTAAAGCAGATGGAGTAGAAACAGGATACACAGAAGGAATTGTAACGATTCGTTAATTACATCTTAAGTAATGACCCATAAAATGTGAGATTCCATAGGAAATAGCAAATCAATCCGATGGATCTTTGAATATTACTTTAAGCAGAAGATGGGATCTTTTTATTGCAGGGATTGAGCAACACTTCGTATTAACTGCAAGAAAGAGTCAGGTTTAAAAAGTTAAAAGATTTATTTCTAAACAATTAAACAAGACTAAGTTTAAACACTATGTGTATGATGTAACTAAGGTGGAGTGAGACTGAGGATGGTGTGTGTGTGAAATATGTTCAGAACCAGCAAATCCGGAGAGACTATTAGTTCTGATGGGAGTGAGATGGTGTTTCGCGCTAAGCTTTGGTTACGCCATCTGTCGGTCTACGTACCCCAACGGAAGTCCCCGTTTAGATCCGTAATGTTGGGGGTCCAGCTTGGACCCTCTTGGATCTGACGCCTGTAGATATGCAGCGGTCGCTGACCCTTCCAGTCTTGACTTACTCCCAGGTCACGACAGTTTATTGGCATGATGGTTCAGCTTTTATTCTGAAGGAGCCGTTGCAGCAGGTAGAACCTGCAACAGATTTAATCCAGCTTGTCGTTCGGTTCTTTCGGCTTTAAGAGGAAAGTTACGGATTGGCCACTCCGATAACTTCTCTAGAACGCTTTGAACTGAAGTTAAGATGACGTGGGGCATAGTTTTAGAATTTGGATGTTTTGATTTATGGTCGAATCAGAATTTGCCAACAAAAGGGGATTATACAAGCACCAACAAAACCACGCCTCGCGTCAGATCTGGAAGGTTCTGATTGGATCAGAAAAAGGAAATGTGTCATGTGACTTTAGCATTACGTGTGATCAGACTAGTGTAAATATTTAAAGTTATAGTACTTATTATAACACTATCATAGGATTATAATATCAAGTAATTAATATTCTCATTTCACAGATTGATTGAACATTAGGCTTCAGATGAATATTTGGACTGACAAGACGTTATTTAATTATTATTTAATAGAGTTCTTGGTCTTCTTTCTTGTGCTGTCCGAGGAAGCAACAGTTTAGATAAGAGCACAGAGCATGAGTGGCCTTGGCCCATATCTTGTAGATAAGGCTTGTGTGAGAAACTTGTGTTTCTGCTTGGGCAGAGCAAACAGAGCGGGCCTTTTAGGTCAGAAATGGACAATTCATCACGCTACAGAATGGACGACAAGAACGCTCAGCACAGCTTATTTGGTTCCATGCTGTAGTTCTTTTTTAAAACACAGAGCAGTTTTGTTTACCTGTTTTCCACAAACGAAACGTAGTAGGAAAACAGGTAAACAAAACTGCTCTGTGTTTTAAAAAAAGAACTACAGCATGGAATTAGAGATATGACACAGCAAGAACACAGCTTATTTGGTACGCTCCGTTTCTGAGACTCGTCATCTCCAGTAGGTGAGTGTCCAACCAATCACAGCTCCATGCAGGTAAAGTCGGGCTCCAACCGCTTTACCTGGTACTTGAGCTGGATTAGAACCAGGTCATCTTCAGACAGACCAACGCGCTCACATGCATTTAACAAAACAACTTCAGTCCATTTCAGTTTGGTTTTGTGATGCGCGTGTAAATACACAGAGTGTTGTTGATGAAAAAGTAGTCAGAATTCAGTCAGCAGGTCTGATTTAGAGTAAAGGGAGTTCACAGGAGAGTAATTTAAACGCTTGAAATCAGTTTTTAGATGAGAAATTCTTTCTTTAATTAACCAACAGATTTGTTAAAGGTTAGGCTTTAAGCTGATTATCATGATGTCCTGTGTTCTTCCAGGGACACTCCAACGTGAAGCTGCAGCTTGCTGCCACTTTCTGCATCTCAAACCTCATCTGGAACGAAGAGGATGGTAAGAAGTGATGCTAGGTTCATGTTGGCCAAAGAAGAGTGGAACCGGTAAACGATTTAGAGCTTTGAGGATGATGCATTTACAACCACCGAGCTGAGAACGTTGGTGCAGGGGTGGATTCATTAAACGGTGAAGGATGAAGTCTGCTGCAGGGGGCTTCTCACCTCCTTCAGTTCAGCCAGATCAGGTGTTGCTCTCTGCTTCAGGTTCTCAGGAGCGCCAGGACAAGCTGAGGGAGATGGGCTTTGTGGACATCCTGCATAAACTGACACAGGCTTCTGACCCCAACCTGAGTGACAGGTGGGCCAGAGCTGCAAACACAGACCGCTGCCGTCAGAAAGGGTGATTTGATGGTTTGTTTGTCTCCATCAGGGCGAAGACGGCGTTGCAGCAGTACCTGGCATGACTACAGTGGGCAGCGATCCTCTACTGCCAGCTTAACTAACAATCACTGGGAGGATGCCTGCCATTAGCAGTTTGATTTTATGTTTTCTTTTTGTTTGTTTTTGAGGCTTTTTGATGCACAAAGACACCTTCCCCCCCCCTTTGATCAGTGACTCACCTCCTCCCACCTCAACGGTTTTGCTTGTTTTGAGCTCGTCTCGGAGACTTCAGCTCTAGGTCTTTGGGACGTCTGCAGATAGGAGGTTTTATGGTTTTTATGTTTTTTAAGTGAACCACTTTGGGACTCTGATGTGAGATGCGTGGAGTGCAGCTACCTGATGCCATGGACTCCTGATTGTGAAGAGGAGATTACACGTTCAGCACCGCTGCACAAGACTTCCTGGTTTCTGTTTATATTGCTGTTGATATTAATGTCTTAAGGCGTCACTAGCAAGGATATATTTGGAGAAAAAGCCTATTTCGAAAATTTGGGTGTTTTTGTTATTTTTGTGGATACATACCTCGTAAATATATAAATATATATATAAATATTCGCATAAATATATATTTTTGGATTTTAATTTCCCCCTGACTCTCCTGGTAGATTTTATTTGTCCTCTCTGCATCATGACTCAGCACAGTGCACATCCTCTGCGGTTTGATATCCAGCCCTGAGCATCAGATGTACGGGTGAATAATGAAAAAAGTCGTAGCTCCTGTTTGTGTTTTCACCACGAAGAGGCTGAGTGCTCTCACTTCTGTCCGATATCCTTATGATCCCCATGGGAAATGTAGTTTCAGAGCTGATAGTGCTTACGTACTCTGTCCTGGTTGGTTATTATTTAAAAGGACACCAGAGATGTACAAACCTCCTCACTTCTGCAGATGAAAACTTTCTGTCATCTCTGCTTCCCTCCTGTCTATGTGTCAGAAGAAATGAGAAATAAAATGTCTGAGCTGCTGGGTTTCCTGCTCTTTGATCCCTATGAGCTTCACATCTGAGCGGAGTTGATGGAACAGAAAAGAAGGACATCAGTGGGACATGTAATGATTTAAATGACATGTTATTTAATAAGCCATGAGACCCAGGATTCCATAGGAAATATGAAATCCACCTTATGGATCTGTGAGGTTATTTTTAACCAGAAGATTGGAACTTTTTATTGCAGGGATTAGACAACAGCTTCGTATTCACTCAAAGACAACAGAAGAGAGAGTCGAGTTTAAAAGTTAAGAATTTTATTACTAACAAATAAAACGACTAACTTTAAACACTACATGTATGGTGTAACTAAGGTGGATGTGACGGTGAATGGGGTGATGTGGAATGTTGTTCAGAACCAGCAAATCCGAAGCTGCGATTAGTTCTGATGGGAACTGAAGGTGATGTCTTTGCGTTAAGCTTTGATTAGGAGATTCATAAACACATTCCACGCCATTTGTCGGTCTACCTACCCGTAGCGGAAGTCCCCGTTAGATCAGGAATATCGAGGTCCAGCTTGACCTTTTCTGGAACCGAAGCCGGTAGGAAAAGCAGCGGTTGCCGACCAGACCAGTCTGTGACATGCTCTAGAGTCATGACGATTTTATTGACATCTGGTGAGACCCGAGCCTGGGTCTTGATGGTTCAGCTTTTATTCTGAAAGGAACCGTTGCAGCAGGTGGAACAGCAACAGATTTTAGCTTGTCGTTGGTTCTTTCGGCTGAAGAGGAAAGTTACGGATTGGCCACTCCGACAACTTCTCTAGAACGCTTTGAACTGGCGTTAGAGATGGCGTGGGCATAGTTTTATACTTCGGATGTTTTGGTTTATGGTCGAATGAAAAGTTGACAGATTTACCAAACACCATCAAAACCACGCCTCCATCAGATCTGGCAGATTCTGATTGGATCAGTGAAAGTAATGTGTCGTCTCTTAACGCTACGTGAGATCAGTCCTAGTGGAAACATTTAAAGTCATATTACTTATTATATTCTATAGGATTATAATAAAGTAATTAATATTTTGATTTCACAGATTGGTCACATCTTATTATTGAGTAACACTTTGCGTGATTAGCTTATTAGAGTTCTTTGATTTATTAAAAGAAAAGAGTTCATTCTTTATTCTTCTGTTGAGCTGAAAATAAGCAGGTTAGAAGGAATGCACGAGACCTTGAGACCATATCTCATGCAGACGAGTTCTGTGTCAGAGGAGGGGGAAACAGTCATTTTCATTCTATTACAGACAGTAGAGAAAACACTTTTCTGTGATTGCTGACACAACTTGTGTAGTTTTGATTGCATTTTTGAGCACGAGCTGCAAACCTTCCTGCTCTTCAGTCCAGAACCGCCATCTTCTCCCTCGGTCCTGCTTCTGGAACATGTGCAGAATGTCTTGTTGGAAAATGTCACCCACAGGCCTGTGCTGTGAAGGCTCGTGTCGGAAGCCTCTGAGACCAGAGACGTTGGTTCTGGGTGAATACACGTGTCCCCATCTCACTTTTCTTAGGCAGTTTTGATCTTTCACGATTTCTACTTATTTTTACTGAAATGAGGTAGAATTTAATATTTCCTCACCTCTCGCGAACACGAGGCTTTATTTACTCGGTGAGGTTTGGAGTTTCCAGCTGTTCCAGCTTTGACTCCTAACCAGAACTGCTGTTTTGTTGCCCAGAATAATGGCTTATTGGGATTAAATGACCAAATGCCTTCCAAACGTCATCCCAGTTTAGCTTCATTCAGACCCAGTTGTTCGTGGAAGCAGCTTTAGAACCGACTCATTGCAGCTGCTGATATTGGTCGGGATAGAAAGGGTGTGTATTAAAGCAACACAACCTTACACGAAGGAAAGTTCCTAAAATGTGTAATGAAATAAAAATACTGTGATCTGCTCTCTGGGGTGTTGATGCTGCTGTTTCACAGGGCGCTGATCCAGATGTTTCTCACATTCAGTTCAATTCAGAAATACTTTATTAATCCCAGAGGGAAATTGATTGCTGTAGTAGCTCAGAATAATAATAATAATCAAGTCATCAAACAGTTATTGTATATTACAATGGCTGTTGGCAGGAAAGATCTCCAGTAGCGGTCAGTGTTGCAGCCAAACTGAAGAAGCCTCTGACTGAAGACTGGTTTGAATTTCCTCTTTCTCTGTCTCCGTTTTGCTCCCGCTCTGCACCCACGCTTCTTGCGTTTTAGCTCATTTGGAATTTGTGGCTTCAGTTGAGGTATTATTTCAGCCTTCCAAATGTTAATCAGCTGCTCCCGATTGTAAACCAGACTGTTGCCATGGTTACACATCATAACAAATGCTCAAAGTGAAAAAATAGCAGTAAAAATCCTCCAAGCTTCACAGCACCAGAAACAGAAAAGTAAAATGTCCAAAAAATACAGTTTTTCTTGAAACTAGAAGAAAAAATGTCCAAGAAAAGGCAAAACTTGCATATAGTCAACAGAGCTACTCCAACATGCAGCCACCCAGAGCAGCGCAGTTCCGGAACATCCTTTGCTAACTTCAGGGCTGCTCAGCATTTGATGAGCTATTTTGAACGGCGGGGATTTAAAAACGGTTCTCAGAGAACAGACACTTTGCCCGAGCTGGGACAGTTTATTCGTAAAGAGAACCACAAGACTGAGTTGTTAAAAAAACAACACTTGTTGATTGTCATTTATGGAGTTCTGGTTTATTTTATAATTGTAACAGCAAGTTTTAATAAAATACATCAGAAACCCAACAGCCTCCAGCAGGCAGGCGTCGTTCTGCTCCCTCGAGCGTCTGTCTGCAGCTCAAAAGCAGGCACATTTCTCATGCAAAAATAAAACCCGACATGCATTTGATTTAAATCCCTTAAGTATCCAATACCCCTCACACCCTACCCTCTGCCCACCCAGGGTCAGAGCTGTGTGTAGAGGTCCAGGCCGTCGCCTCCCTCCTGTCGTTGAACACCAGAAGTCTGAGTGTCTGTACACAAGTAACACGCGGTGCACAAAGCACCTCAGCAAAGCAGGGACAAAGATCCCAGAAGGTCTGAAATCATGGCGTTGCAGCCTGAAGGTTGTAGTTTTAGCTTCAGGCTGACGCCTCGAGTTTGAGATGGTACGAGTGTGTGTGTGTGTGTGTGTGCGCGTGTGTGTGTGTGCGCGCGCTACATCAGAGCTGGGAAGATTCCCGTTAGACCAGAGTGTATCCAGTCACAAAAACATGCAATTCACCTTTTCAACTAAAAGGATCCCCTAAATGAACAGATAAGGTGGTTGTGTCCGAGTAAAGGTGCCAGCCAGTGGGCAGCATCGATGGCTTCAAGTCTGAAACGGTCATCTGATCGTAGGGAAGTCTACATGAAGAAGGCACGAATGGCTGGATGGCTAAAGCTCAGGAGGGGTGTGTGTCTCTAATTGGCTGGCTGTTAATGGATACTGGGGGGGGGGGGGGGGGGGCATTGTGACACGAGCGTTCTCAAAAACGTGGCCTTTCTCTTTGGCGATCAAAACGACGACTCGTCCAGACCTCACCGCTCGCTCACAGCTGTTCTCTGTCTGGTGAAAAGCTCGGAGGACTTCCAGGTGAGGTGACCTGATGAGACTGAACAAAGGACTTACATTCCAGATCCCAAGCGCTAGCTTGGATTCCGTGGTTTGGGTTAGGACACTTCCTGCTCGGGGGTGAGTGTTGGAACCTGACATGGTGACTTCAGCTAGCTGACAGGAGCTTTGCAGGGATTTGGACATGAAGATATGCTCTGGTCCTGTAGGTGTGGCTGTGTTGTCCACTCAGTTTTGTGCTGGTTGTTGATTAGACAGCTCCTTCTCTCCGATTGGCTGACAGCCTCCCAGATGTTTTGTTTTTACCTGCCTGTTCTGACCAGTGGGCAGCTTCAGATCGGTTTCTCTTCCAGCTTTGACGACCTCCTTGCTGTCTTCGCCGCTTCATTCTCTTGTGTAACGTACTGATTCACAATGCAGGTTCATCCTCATCGATGAAGCTGATGTCCTCGGTGGAGGGCTTCTGCTCGGATGACTGATGTCTCCACTCCTGCATCTCTACCTCCTGGGGATTCGTGCTGGCTCTCGCCGCCACGTGACACCTCTGTGAGTTACACCGAGGTGGTGTCTGGGTGTCTTGTCTCCGCGTGATCCCAAAGTCCAAAGACAAGGACAGGGTGGAGGGATGGAGGGGCAACGTGAGGGATGAGACGGGGACAGATGGGGAAAACCTAAGCTGGTGACCTCCGGGGGAGGATGCGAGCGACGGGGGTGCTGAGCAGTGGGATGATGGAGGAGGGGGGTTCTCTTGGGAAGGAGGTGGGGGCAGTAGACTTCTGCTGGTGAAGCTGGCAGGTCGAGAGGGGTGGGGACCTTGGCAGGGGGACAGCGATGGTGAGGAGGACAGAGACATGGAAAAGGACCGAGATGGTGATGGAGTGTGAGAGACTAGAGGAGGCTGACCCTTCAGAGAGGGTAGAAGCATGGTGTTACCGGGGGAGGTGTGGGGACTTAGTGCGACCACAGATCCCCTCAGACGTCCCTCCTCAGTGGAGGGCAGGTGTGAGCCAACAGTTCTCTCTATGTCCACCCCTGTCACGTTGGACAGGGGCGGTGCTGATGCTGACAGAGAAGAGTCAGGCCTTTGTGGTGAATGAGTGGGGAGAAGGCATCCTGGCAGTCCCACACCCTCAGTGTCCCCACTGTCCAACAGGGAACGGCTGTCTGGTCTATGGGGGGAGCAGACCACAGCTGGGGGTGGAGCCACAAAGCAGGTGGTGGTGCTGCTCTGAGGTTGGGTTAGGTTTGGCACCATGCTCGCTTCGATTGGCTGAGGTGCAGCTTGGAGGAGGGGCTTAAGAAGACGAGCCATTTCCTGCAGTTCCTGACTGAGTTTGGACACTTGTTTAGAGAGACTGCTCATCTGGACAGTAAAAGGACACACGGGGACAGCAGGTTAGGACATGCTGTAGCACATTTAATAAACTGGTCCAAACTGAAACGAGTCTCTGAGTCAGGACTGACCTCCTCTGTGAGCCGAGACATGTTCTGTTTAATCTCAGTGTCCTCACGGATCCCTGCAACACAAACAGGAGCGTAAGGATGTCTACTTCTCTGAGAAACGCACAGATCTTTGTGTGTGTGTGTGTGTGTGTGTGTTACCTAGGTATGGGGAAGGTGGAGCTGCAGGTGACAGGCTGGGGCTAAACTCAAACTTCTGTGAGGACGTGGAATTGCTCTCAGTTTCGATGCCATCCACAAATCTTTGCAGTTGGACAAAGAGGATTAAACATAAATGGCGGTGGAGGAATGTAAACAAGGACAGGAACTGTAACTATGGGATGTTTCTGCGTCTGCCATGATGGATTTTCACACCAACATTAAAGACTCCTGTCAGCGGCTTGTTTTCACACACTACTGCACAGCAGCGTGTGCACACAGACAGTTACCCTGCATAAACACACGCTATGCTGCAGTGTGAAACCCTGCACACAGCAGCCAGGTCCCATGTGACCGACCAGCACTGTAATCTACTGGTTACCATGGCAGCCAGATGCCTTTGCTGCAGAGCCGACTGCAGCTTTTGCAGCTGCTCATCTGGCTGTGAAGTTGTTTTTGGGTTAATATTCCTGATCTGTCTGATCACTGGTCATACTTTGTGTGTGTGTGTGTGTGTGTGTGTGTGTGTGCGCGTGCGTGCGTTACCTGGGGCTGAGATCAGGTGGTGCGCTGCTGAAGCTAACCACTGGTATTTGTAGGGTAGAGGGCCGCAAGTGCTCAGAGGGATTGCGGAAAGCCCGTGGAGGCAGCAGGGGGGAGCGCAGGGGGGAGCACAGACCTCTGCTGAGGTGCAGGGGGGAACGAGGAGCATGAGACACGGTGCTCTGCTCCTCATCACCCTCCTCATCCTCTCGGATGGATGGCAGCTTTTTCACCAGGCCGCCGTTGCTCTCCCAGTCCATCTGAAGAGGACAAGACAGGGACAGTGAGCTGCGAGGGATTTTAACCATCACACTTGTTAGATGTTTGTTTTTAGATGAACTGTAGTGTCACCATTCCACCAGTAGGTGTCAGACAGACACAGATGTTTGTTTTCTCTATGACGTCCTATACTCAGGTTTGGATGCAGCCTTTTTTTATATTCTGCTGATTGTTTAGCTTTGATGTAATCATATTTTAGGTCCATAATTACAACAATGCAATCGACCAGTCAGGATAAGGAGAACATTTCCTTTTGGGTTCTCTAAAACAAAGACTGAAACTAACAGCTGACAGGTTGGTGTAATATTTTAGAAAACTTGTCCAGCTTGTTTAGACCCACAGCTTCTATTATTCATCCACAAAACAAGGAGAATGGGCAGACTGTGTGTAGACAGAAACCTGCACTTAGCAATGACATTTTAATGCAAACGGTAACATTAAAACGCATCAGCAGGAATAAAGACATCAGGGCTGCAGGTAGTAAAAGCACACGCCCACAGGGCTTGTGTCAGTCTTTATGGATTCTGTTAGATGGAAACTTTATTTTTATTTATTGGTACAAATAAATAAGTAGCAGTGCGCTACCAACACTATAGTGGGGACGGTGTGCAGTGGCGTGTCCAGATCTTTTAAAATGGGGTGGCCCAGGTCAGGCACAACTTTGTGCATGGGTGGCACCAATGGTTATGCTTTTTTGTTTTACCCCCAAGCCTTTAGTGGAAATTGAAAAGCCTTTTTAAAGGTGAATTAGTGTGGTGGCACCTGGGATGGCCAATCAGATTCCAAGGCTGGCATACCCAGGCCACTCCCTGGACACACCCCTGACGGTGTGCTGTTGACCTCTACTCAGGACGTTGTGGATCGGTGGGCAGAATACTTCAAAGGCCTCCTCAATCCCACCGACACGTCTTCCAGTGAGGAAGCAGAGTCTGGGGACTTTGGGTTGGCCTCTCAAATCTCAGGTGCTGAGGTCACTGAGGTGGTTAAAAAGCTCCTCTGTGGCAAGGTTCCAGGGGTGGATGAGATCCACCAGGAGTTCCTTAATGCTCTGGATGTTGTGGGGCTGTGTTGGCTGACGCGGCTCTGCAATATCGCGTGGACATCGGGGGCAGTCCCACTGGACTGGCAGACCGCGGTGGTGGTCCCCTTATTTAAAAAGGGGGACCGCAGGGTGTGTTCCAACTACAGGGGGATCACACTCGTGAGCCTTCCTGGTAAGGTCTATTCAGGGGTTCTGGAGAGGAGGGTCTGTCGGATTGTTGAACCTCAGATTCAGGAGGAGCAATGTGGTTTTCGTCCTGGCCGTGGAACACTGGACCAGCTCTATACCCTTAGGGGGATCCTGGAGGGTGCGTGGGAATTTGCCCAACCAGTCTACATGTGTTTTGTGGATTTGGAGAAGGCGTTTGACCGCGTCCCTCGGGGGGCCCTGTGGGGGCCCTGTGGGGGTAGTTGTGGTGGCTCGGGCATCTGGTCAGGATGCCTCCTGGACACCTCCCTGGTGAGGTTTTCCGGGCACGTCCAACCGGGAGGAGACCTAAAGGTAGACCCAGGACATGGTGGAGGGACTCTGTCTCTCACCTGGCCAGGGAACACCTTGGGATTCCCCCGGAGGAGCTGGCTAAAGTGGCTGGGGAGAGGGAAGTCTGGGCCTCTCGTCTTAGGCTACTGCCCCCGCGACCTGACTCTGGATAAGCGGATGAAAATGGATGGATGGATGGTTTTGCCCCAACAAGCAGGTGTAATGGTCCCTGGAGGAGCATTATCAAACGAGCGGTGGCTGTGTAATGTGATTCATTACCAGGTGTTAATGGGTGAATGACTGTATGTGAAGCACTTTGGAGTCCTCTGACTTAGAAAAGCAGACCATTTATCATTTGAATCCATCAGAACAGTAGCTGGAGCCTGAAGGGGACTTTTAGGATTCTGGTTCCTGATGTTTTCCACATCTGTGTAGGACTCCGCTGATCTGAGTCCGCTGCCTGCTCTTGAACAGAAACCAGCTTGCAGCGCTTCCTTGGTTTTCTGCTTGTGGACACATTGGGTGGATAGCAGAGGTACAGATTAGTGGGTGATGTGTGGTCAACCACAAAGGAGCACGGTGGGCTGCTGTGGCTCTGAACATCTGGACTATTGTATCTACAGATGCTGAAAGCTTCTATTAACTTTGCACACTATGCTTTGTGCACAAATACACGTTTTTAAACATCAAGTTGCTTCATGTGTCTTCTTCAAGCCCTCCACCTGCTCCAGGTCTCCATCAGTGATGTTCCTGTGTAAGGTTTCAGTAATTCAGGTCGTAGTATTGATGCTTCTGAATGAGGTCATTTCTGTGGGTTTATAATCAACGACCAGCGCTACAATTTTTTTGTACACAATGGCGATTAATGTACAGAACTGCTTTTGTCTTCATGCAACAGCTGAGGTGTGTTGTAAGAATCTCACACCAGGATTAGAATGTGCTGCATGGAATAACGTGTAATCTGTGTGTAGGAGTCCAGCTAACTTATCAAACCCCCACATTGTCTTCTAGCAGCTTCACACTCAAAGCTTCATCTCATTGCATCTTTCAGTGGCTGCTTGATGCGACGCGAAACACTCTTCATCACTTGCTGCACCAGACAACGCCCCTCTGCGTCGCTCCCTATTTCACTCCCACTACCAGCATCCCTCTCCTCCTAATCAAACCTCACTCTTCTCTCTCCATCCCTGCCGCCTCAGCAATTCCCCCCCTCTTTTTCCCCCTGCTTTGTGGCTGTGTGAGATATTTTTAGCTCTCTTGTTCTATATTTAGCTTCCAGCTCCACAGAACACCAAGGAGCTCTGTGCGATGCGGGGGTATAAGTGTGCAGTTGCCTTGAGTTGATGTGAGCGTGTCTGTATGTGTGTGTGTGTGTGTGTGTGTGTGTGTGTGTGTGTGTGTGTGTGTGTGTGTGTGTGTGATGAATGCATGCAGTCAAGCTGGGCTGTTTGCTGAATCCTGAATGTGTGAGTGACAGGAGAAATCTACACTATGTGCTCATTTTTACCGAGGATAATAGTTTGTGTCTTTGCAGAGCTGCTGTTGTTCTTCCTGTCATGCTTCTGGTGAAGAGTCCAGAAGCTGCACCACTGTCTTTTCCCTGGGACAGCTCAGTGTCCCTTATGGACAAGTTGGTCATTGGGATTACGAGTAGCCCCTGATTCATCAGCGAGAACGTCTGACAAGCCAACTCAGATTTAAATAAGGAACCCTTTACTTCCTCATTCTTTCCCTTCAGTTTCATTCACCATGTTTTATTCTTGGTTTGATCATTTTATCCATTGAATTTACAACAAACGTAACAAGATGCTACATATGTGCAGGCCTCCTGTCTAGTTTTTGCTCAACTGTTCCTTTCACACGTGCATCAAGGATTCTCCCGGATTGTGGAAATCAGACGGGCATTTGCAGCCTCTGTCCGGAGCAGATTGGGCATCCAGAACCGTGCATCTCCCTGGATCTGTTTCCACCCAGTTTGGGGCTCACAATCACACTTTGCAAAAAATATGTAGTGAAAAAATGGTCCCACTGCAGCAGAGCAGGCAAGAATGAGAACAGAAAACGAGATAGCAATAATTCCTCCTCCCCCACTTCATCTCCTCCTTGACTGGCTGAGCTATTTTTATCGAGCGGGATCCAAACTTAGCAGCCGCTGCGGGGGGGACAGCCAGTCAGGGAGAGCCCGTGCTTCCCCCTCTTCTATTTTTAGCAACAGCAAAGCTTCAAACAGCAGCACGTATCTATTCTAGTCTTTCAGTTTTTTGCTCTGCTGTGTGTGTGTGTGTGTGTGTGTTAAATGGAAGGACCTTGACAAAAAGCATTGAGGGCTGCTGGCATGTCACACTGACAAGTGAAGGAAAACTATCACACACACACACGCACGTGCACACGCACGCACACACACACACACACACATTTTTGATTATCCTGTTCAGAGGGCTTATTCACTCGTTTCATAGCTAAAGTGAAAGGACATTGATCCGTCTCACCAGATGAAATGACTGAAGCTGTTGATTTTGACTCAGATGTTCTTCCTTGCAGCCAATAGAAATGAAAAGTAAAAAGCAAACAAGCCTGTCTGGTTTATTAAATGTAATTTTTGTCTTTACTACTCCTGTTGTGTTCAACAAGCCATTTAGCTTCTGTATACGTGATTCATGGCCACAAGGGACCTGAGGCAGGTCTGTTTAAATCTTTTTGACTGACAGTCCAAATCCACACAGTAAAATGAAACAATCATACAATTCATCAAAACGTCCACTCCGGTCCATTCAAAAACAAAACAACAATTCATCCTTTTAATGAATCACAGCACCTTAATTATCAGACTTGGTGACTTGGTGACCCGGTGGGGATCTCTGGAACTGTTCTAGACTGGTTTAGATCATACCTTTCTAACAGAAGTTACAGTGTCTGTATAAACCAAATCATGTCAGGTTCTTCTGATCCGTTTTGTGAGGTTCCCCAAGGCTCTGTTTTGGGTCCATTGTTGTTTCTACTGTACATACACCCTCTTGGACAGATAATTGTGTAGCGGAAATCCACATTTCATATCCTCAGTTTAACTTTCGTCAGGTTCACACGAAGCTTTTCCTTTCACACTTAACAGCAATAGGGGGGAATTTGAAATGCTAGTTCCTACCTTCCCCCAGGGACATACATTTTACTAAGTGATGCGTTTTTCTCTTCTGTACCAGTTGGAGGCACAGGACGATATCAGAAACTGGTCTGTTCTGTGTCAACCTGCCAAGACCTGACTCTCATCCAAGGCTTGGGTGCTCGTAAAACTTCTCAGGGTGTGTTCTGGAAGGTTCCAGAATTTAGTCTTTATCAAAACCCTGGTATTTTCTGTTTATCCACAGTCAAAAGGTGTTTTAGGTTTGTTCACCATTAGAAATCAAGGTGTTCCAAGTAAATGTTTAAACTCTTATCAGTTACAAACCTAACTGCTTGTTTTATGTTTTTCTTTTATGTTAAACCTCTGCCAATTTTTGTTTCTCCAGTTAAAATTCATCCTAACGGTAAAACTGTTCAGTTTTAAGACATGAATTTAGTTCTTTCCTGTTTAAAGTAATACATTGATGCTTCATCTGGAATAACTTTGGTAAATTGTGATTATTGATCATTGTTGGAAAGGTAGTTTATTTGAAAGAGCCACAGTGCCATCCATTGGTTATTGAGTGAAATACATGTGGGTGTGACCAAGAAAAGTTATAAAGGCCACAGTCCAATCCTCGTGTCGGCAGAAAAAGAACAAAAGACGCCTTAAGCGTATCTCTGCTTGGCTTTTCCATCTTGGCCTAGCAAAACCGCCGCTCTAAAAGTTAAGTCATTAGCTCTCAAAAGTTACGGTAAAACTCAGAGGCAACTCTGTTTTGTTTTGACTTTCTACGTAAAACCAGAAGTCGGCTTGGTCCGGTCGTGTTGTGGAAGACAGAAGACGGGAGTTGCCAGATTCTGGGGGCGTGGTGACTGAACGCCGGCTGGTGCTTGTCAGGCCTAATGAGGCCGGAGAGGGGGAAAAGGATGGCAGATCTACCAAGGTGTGTGTGTGGTCGACCTGTCATTGTGGATCCCGGTTCTGCGGGTGGGATCGTTCGCAGCTGGTTAGGGCTGCCGGCGATGAAGACCGCTGAGTGGGTGGGCAGTGTTCCAGCGCTAGGAGGGGAGGCTTGACTCCTTTAGGTAGCGAGGGCTGGGAGTAGTTGGGTGCCGAGACAACGCCTACATCTGCCACAGCAAACTCTGGCAGCTGCACCTGAGCCGTGGACTCACCAGCCGAACTCGCCAGCTGAATCCCGGGGCGTTGGACGGTTTCGGAAGCTCAGACCCCGGGGAGGGGGTTGCATCATCTGAGCCAGCTTGCTTGATTTTACTTATGCTGAACAGCTGCTTTTATCGTGAAGGAACTCGGCCGTAGAGTTTTATTGTTGGTTGTGATAATAAAGGATATTTTTGATAAACTGGTGCTGTTTTTAGGTTCTGACTGGAGGGTAAGATATTCTGCCTGTGCTCCCACTGAAATTTATATTACAGAGTTTTCACATTATGAGAAAAACGTACTTAGAGCAGTTTCGATCCGGCCTCGCTGTTGAATCTGGACCCGCACTCTGAATCCTACGTTTTGGGTGCAGCTGCAGGAACCGAAAGTCAAGCCTGGGTAGAGGAATGCATCATCCTCCACCCCACAGACGTCGTTAACCTACTCTGGGTGCCAAAAGTCCTACAGCCCTAGAAGGCTTCACTCAAGCAAGGACACCGGCTGCTTCAGCCCCTCAGGTCACCCTTTCGGCGACGGAAAACAGGTCTGTGAATCATTTTCATCTGGCTGACTTTTCTGCCAAGCCGATTCGTGAATTCAGATTATCCCATTTTTATGGCTTGTTTTATTTGACCCAAATTCACGTTTAGCTCTCAAGATTTACCCTTCTTTTCCTGCCGCAACGAATCCTAATTTGCTCACACACACACACACACACGCACGCACGCACGCACGCACGCACGCACGCACACACACACACACACACACACACACACACACACTTACTTCACTTGTTTCCCCTGTAGAAATTACACCTCATTTTACTATAATCCTGGGTTTCACCAAATTTCCACTTTATTACAGATCAGTTCTTTCATTTCACTGCTATAAAGCTCTGGGTAACCATTTTTCTCAATTCCATAGATGAAGCTATCAGATGTGTTTGATCCCTTTGTCAAATGTATTAACTGATGTTTGTAATAAACTCACAAAAACGTAAATAACGTCTGATCATTTCTAGCGATCTCGAGAATAGTCAGCACATTCTGGCTTTCAGATTAATTTGTGGTTTTAAATTTGAGACTGATTACATTGAACAAATCTGAATATCCATTCAAGTGTCCCAAGTTAACACTAACAAAGACTTGGTGGTGCCCCGATTAATTAATATAAGATTATAAATGACGAAAACAAGCTAAATCTACACCACATTTGATACGTATAGAGATAAATCTATATTTATCGCTGCAATTGATTCTTTTTATAATGTCTCTAATCACCTATATGCATATGATATTCAGCTGTACTGCTCCTTTAAGGATTCTGAGTTCTATAAACTGTCTGAATGACTAGAGTGTCTATAAGCGATCACCAGGTGGCTAGAAGAAAACTTCCTTCAGTTAAACTCTGAAAACACTGAATGTCTGATCGTTGCCCCTGAGAGCATGGTTCCCCTGAGAGCATGGTTCCCCTGATTAGTCTAAAACTTGGTCATTTATCTTCTGCTGTCAAGACAAACTTAAGGAATTTGGGTATTTTTGACCAATCAACGTCTCTTGAAGGCCACTCAAAAACAGTGGTCCAAAATTGTTTTTATCATTCAAGAAATATCTCCAAACTGCGAAGGTTGGTGTCAAAACATAAACTTGAAATGGTTCTCCATGCCTTTATCTCCTCCCGTCTAGATCACTGTAACACACTTTTTACATGTTTTAACAAAAAGCCCTTGACCGCCTTCAGTTGGTCCAGAACTCTGCAGCGAGGCTCCTAACTGGAGCAAACAGAAGAGCACACATCACTCCTATTCTACTGTCTCTGCACTGGTTACCCGTTAACTTTAGAGTTCATGTTAGAGTCCTGACTATAAATTTCAATGCTCTACATCAGCGGTGCCCAAACTTATTTAGCCGCGCACCCCCCTCTATGTCCCGACCATGTCGACGCACCCCCCAGCCCCCACATCAGGGCATGGCTATGTATATATATATATATATATATATATATGTTTGTATATATATATATATATGTTTGTATATATATATATATATATATATATATATATATATATATATATATATATATAAATAAAATCAGACGTCAAGCTAAACAGACAGGGTTAAAAAAATATGATCGACCTCTTTCCCCCATCACTTTCATTTTTTAAATAGTAATTAATAAACATTCGATACCATTACAATTGCCTTTGATTTAATTTTAAATAAATATTTAGATTGCCCAGGTAGCACATCAACAATGCAATTTAACGGTTTTATTAAAGCAGGAACGTTTAACCAGAGCTCTCTCCTTCCTTCTGCTCTGCGTAAACCTGAACTGGCCACCTACTCGTGCGTAATCAAATGTCTATAGGGGAAAAGATGGAAAAGCTATAGCCATGAGGTTCACTTTTGCCTCAGACCAACTTATTGCTGTTTTATGGTGTGGCTGAATCTGCGATCCGCTGCCACGCGGACTGGAACAACAAATGCTGCAGTAGCATGAGTTGTTGTCAGGTTCGGAGTCACTGGCTGGAGTGGACCCGACTTTAATACGTCATCCCAAAATAGAAGGTAATATCTTAATTTGACCTGGAATGAAAAATGTTGTTATAAAACCTCTTAAAAAATTTTATCACGGAAGAGGCAGCGCTCATTTCTGTCTTCAGTCTGACGGCGCGCCGGAGTTTGTGCAGCGTGCGCGCTTACCTGCTCTACATGGTCAAGCTCCTCCCTATATTACTGAACTGTTAAAGCCTTATGCTCCAACCCAAGCCCTCAGGTCCACACACCAGAACCTTCTAGAAGTTCCAAAGACCAGATGTAAAAGTCGAGGTGATCGCTCCTTCCAGACTGTTGCACCCCGACTTTGTGTAGCAGTGTGAGCGTCCTGCCACTGTGACCCGATTGATCATGCGTCCTGGCTACTTGGCCAAGGAGATGTCCCTGTGGCTGGCTGGTTAGCGTGCATGACTCTCACCCAGGAGTCTGGGGATGGAATCCTGCCCGGGCCTTCGTTTCTCCACCTTGCCACATTTTGAATGGTTTTCCTTTATCCTTACGCAGCATTGACCTAAATCTTTTGTGTTTTTCTTCTTTTTTAACGTTCATTTGTTTTAGACATTTGTGATCATTTAGTAATTTTGTGACTTTGTTTTCTGATTTTAATTTATTTTATGATAACTGTTTTTAAGATCATCTGGATTTTACGACTTTATGGTTTGTTTTGTTTTGTTGATCTCTGCGAAGCACTTTGTGATTCTCTTTCTGTGATGAGTGCTATATAAATAAAATTCACTTACTACTTAACTAAAATGATTTTAAACCATTTGCATTTGCAAGTTAAAATCAGCTAAAGCCATCTCTACAGAGGAGAAATGAGGCATGCAGAATGAAATGTAGCATTTATTAATGCTTTGCCGCTTTTGAAGGTAAAACCACTGATGTCTCTTCAGTTGTGGGAAATGTGACCTTCCAGTTGACAAGTGTTACTCATCTGCAGATGTTCATTTTTTACAGAACTGATGCGTTAAAGATGTTTTTTTTATGTGACAACCGTTAATGTAGCTGCTCATCATCCTGTGTGTACTCACGTCAGCCCCGTGGCCCTCTCGCAGATTGTACGTGAGGTCGTGTTGGATCTCACTGACAAACTTCTGAGCATACTCAGGGTAGAGCCGGAGAACCTCGCGGAGACCTTTCAGGCTGATGTATTGCAGGTCACAGTACGTCAGGGCCTTCACGTTGGCGTTGGTCTTAATTACCTGCTCCTTTGTTAGCGAGTCTGAGCCGATCAGGTCTCCTTTACCTGAGGGAGCGAACCAGCAAAAAGAGTTATGAAAAACTGGTTTCAACCATAACATGGTTATCCTCAGTGAGGCTGGCATTAAAGACAACTGCATTGAAGAAGAGGGGTGCTTCAGAAAGCTGCTGTAAATACAGACAGTACGAAGACAAAAAGCCCGTTTCCACTATCAGAATTTCTGGGTAATTTTACCAGACCTTCGAGATTTGCACATCTCCATTTCACTGGGCCAGCCCAAAAGCTCCATATTCTATTTGTCGGGAGCTACAAGTAACAAGTACAGTACCTGAGCTGGAATATGTACTTGGAGATGGCCTGGTAGAGTCACTGAGCGGGATTTGTGGGTAACTCGTTCTAAATGTTTGTCACTCAACCAGCACTTGTAAAATGGGAAATTTTGAAGAGGAAAAGAAAACAAGCAGCTTTGATGCTGCTTTAAAATGAAAGTTCCTTAAAGCCTAATTTATGCTTCTCTGCCTGCGTTGTTTCAGAGACACGCAACACACTTATCCATCGTTGCAAGGGCTCGCCGACAACCTCGGACTGACGGATGGAGTCGAGCTCACTTTTCTAAACTTCCTTCAAACTAGACTGAAAATGCAAGCTTGCTGATTGGTCAGGAGTGTAAAGGAGATTAAAGATATGCAGCAAGCATATTATTCATGGATGTAAATGATGGGAAAGGTTGGTTTAGAGGTGCTGATTGCATAAAGTTGGTGGAGGAGGATTAGGGACAAGTTTGTCTGTGTTAAAAAGTCTCTTAAATACAAAAACACAATATAAACACAATAGTAAATGCACCATTTAGAACCGGGGTACATAACAGGACACCCCAGAAATGAGCTACGCCCTCTGTTGCCCTGGCAGGAATCGCTTGCAACACTCCCCAGGGGACGGAGAAGTATGAGAGCAAAACGCCTCTTTCATGGAGCTGATGCAGAAGCATAAACCAGGCCTAACTCCCAACGCATAAAAATGCAGCAGAAACCCCCCAACGCCGTACTTCACAGCCCTTTTTATTCTCGGAGCACGTTTTACATCACACAGCCACGCTTATGGCATACAGTTTTGACCAAAGTCTGTATACCGTAAATCCTCTAATACAGACCCGGGCCTTTATTTGACTCAAGCTCACCAAGCTCCAGGCCTTTATTGGAAGGAGGGCCAGTATTAGAGGCAGGCCTCTATTTCTAATTGAGCAAAATGAACTAATGGTTCGCTGGAGTTTTTGACAATTAAAATTGCGCCCACATTTTCAAAGTTAAACACATTTCTTTTAACAACGGTAGTTTCTGCTTCAGTCCTCTCCCCCCTCCCCCTGCGCAGCAGCCGCAAACTCACTGATGCGCCTGCAGCCTCTCGGAGTTCCTGCTGCTCTAAACATTAAAATAATTATTTCATTTTCTGTTCCTCACTTCTGATTACCTTCAATGGTGTCTGTTTGTTGCAACCACCAGGTACAAAACTAACTTGTTTTTATTTGACTATTTTTCTGTCCTGCCTGTTTATTATCTTCCTGCATCTCCTCTCAGTCCTAAAGAGAAACTGCTACCTGGGTTCATATATATTCACCTCATGAGTTACCTTTGAACTGCAGTTCTAAAAGATCTACCGACCGCAAAAACAGCGGAGCGCTCGCTGTTTGGCGGCCGTATAAGTGATCAGTACGTCGGAGGACAAGGTGATGCGCGCAGCGCCCCGCTCCACAGCAGCGAAACGCATCAGGCGCAAATAAAAGACAGAAAACATTAAAGGAAATGAACTGACATGAACGATCGCGTGTTAAATTAGTTTTTGAGGTGGCGACACCTGTTTGTTACTGTGGCTGTGCTCAGGAGGCAGATCTACCGACCGCGAAAACAGCGGAGCGCTCCCTGCTTGCCGGGCGCATCAGTGATCTGTGCGTCTGAGGACAAGTTGATGTGCCCCGCTCCACAGCAGCGATACACATCAGGCGCAAATAAAAGACTGAAAACATTAAAGGAAATGAACCGACATGAACGATTGCGTGTCAGTACACGGTCTGGCACAGCGCGTTGCCCCCCCCCCGAGCGCAGGAGCTTGTCACCTGCTGACAGCAGGCTGCTGTCTTTTCCGAGGGCTGCATCTTGCCGGTCATTATCACGTGACAGCGACTAGTCGATGACAGGCATAACAAGTCACTACAGTAATCCCTCGTTTATCGCGGTAGATGCGTTCCAGACCTGGCCGCGATAGGTGAAAATCCGCGAAGTAGGGACTCCCAGCATGCCCCTCGCGGGGATTCCCTCCACGTTGCACCTACGTCACAAACCGCGGCTATAAACGGAAGTCGCCTTTCCAGCTCACCACTCAGTCATCGTTTCTTTAGATTCATGATCAGAGTTTCCAACCTACCGATCAATCCAACGAACAATCATAGTAAGTTATCTTACTTACTTCTGGAAAGCCCGGCATTTCCGTGTCACTTCGTTGACGCTCGAACGCTCGGGGGTTTCCTAGATCAGCCGGCGTTTCACCGACGCTATCACTTCCGCGTCTGTGAAACCACACTCCCTATTGAATTATCGTATGATCACATTCTCTTTTTGTGGGTAAAACTCAAGAAAAAAATTTTTTTACTTGTTTTTTTTTAGTTTTATTACAAAAAGTGCATTTTATGATGAAATTGATGAAAAAAACAAGAATTTCTTGATATTTCGCATAGAAAAATACCGCGAATCAGTGAAAAATACCGCGAATCTGCGAATTCCCCCTGAAAAATGCTCCAAAGAAAAAATCCGCGAAGCAGCGAATCCGCGATGAACGAACCGCGAAGTAGCGAGGGATTACTGTATAGTGAAGTTGACTAGTTCATACACCCCCTACTGCTGCTCTCCAGAGTGTTCTGCAGCATAATCAGCACGTTCTCTTTGAACTTGATAGTGTAATGACCTGGCTGGGGTTGTAAGCCAGGTGCATTCTGGGTATTGTGTTATATGTGTTTCCTATCGTTCTGCTAGTTCCTATGTGCTGATTTGCGTGTTGTGTGAGTGTTATGTAAGCCACAGGGAAGGTGATGTGTGTTCTGTGGAGGGGTTGAATTAGCATGGTTAACTGACACCGTGACTCTGTGTGGTAGGAGCGTGATAGAGGATCGTGTCTGTAGCGTTACAAAGCGTTGAAGAAAAAGCCCAATAAAGGTCCGCGTGAACCTCTACTGTCTCCTGCTGGTTGATTTGGGGATTATAACCCTGCCGCTGGGACGCCCATACTTGCTTGTCACCACATTCCACCCGGCCACAATAAGAGACCGGCCATTATTTACCTCCGCTGACTCCGACACCGGCCAAAATTGGAGACCAGGCCTTTAATTGAATACCGGCCAGGCCTTTAATTGAATACCGGCTGGTATTACAGGATTTACGGTATTCATTTTCAACAATAATTATTAACAATGAGCAATTTGTGCTTTTTGTAAACAGAATAAACAACAAAAACTACTCACACACACACACACACACACACACACACACACACACACACACACACACACACACACACACACACACACACACACACACACACACACACACACACAGCTCACTCTCTTCTCCCGTTCCTACTGAGCGGCAGCTCCGTGCTACAGAGAGGAAAGAGAAGTTTACACAACAGCATCCAGCATGAAAATGAATCGCAGGCGGGAATCCCCCCGTACCGAAAGAGGGGTTCGAGGACCTGGCATTCTGGATCTGTACGGAGGTCTCATTTTAAGGGTATGTGTGGAGCGACAACATGGCGTCAAATGTGTTTATGAATCTCCTAATCAAAGCTTAGCTCAAGACATAACCTTCATTCCCACCAGAACTAATCGCTTCTTTGGATTTGCTGGTTCTGAACAACATTCCACACTATACCATTCTCTGTCTCATTTCACCTTAGTTACACCATACATTTAAAGTTAAAGTCCCATTAGTTGTCACACACACTGATGTGTGTGCAAAATTTGTTCTCCGCATTTGACCCATCCCCTGGGGGAGCGGTGAGCTGCAGACACAGCCGCGCCCGGGAACCATTTGGTGGTTTCACCCCCCCAATCCAACCCTTAATGCTGAGTGTCAAGCAGGGAGGCATTGGGTCCTGTTTTTTCAAAGTCTTTGGTATGACCCGAACAAGAATCGAACCCTGATCTCCCAGTCTCAGGGTGGACACTCTACCACTAGGCCACTGAGCTGGTGTTAAAGTTAGCCTAGTTTTAATTTGTTTAGTAATAAATCTTTAAACTTCAAAAACCCGACTCTCTCTTCTGTTGTCTCTCAGTTAATACGAAGTTGTTACATAATCCCTGCAATAAAAAGTTCCAATATTCTGGTTAAAAGTACCCAAAGGTCCATAAGGTTGATTTCATATTTACTATGGAATATTATGTCTTATGGCTCATTCTACAAACCTCCACCAATAACACGTTTTGGACCAAAAGCAACCTATGGACCCTCAGAACCACCGCACTTCCCTGGGTCCTCCACTCATTCCAAACTCAGGTATTCAGCAACAGGCTCCACTGGTGTGAGAGGTTCTTCACTCAATAATCTCTATAAATTCATTTTTTATGCGATAATGAAGAAACAAATTTATGAAATAAATATAAAAGAATAATTCTAAATAATACAGCTTGGATTCTCTTTCTATTCTTCTGTCGTGCATGATTATTCTGTTTCTATTGAGTGTTCTGAAAGATTCCAATTGTCCACAGATTGTGATGTCAGAAATTAAAATGGTACTATGTCAGTCTAAAACGGGAAACTGTAATTTGGAAGTGTTTTGACTGACAAAGCCTCAGCAGTTTTGGGGAGAATAGTCAGACAAAGACAGCTCGGTGCTTCACAATGGAACAGTAAAGAAAAGGAAGAGGGGGCTGGTGAAAAACGATGCGGAAGGGAACAGAGGAGGGATGGAGGGAGGCGGTTAAAAGAGGGAAAATGAGAAGACGATGGAAGCTGAGGGAAGAGATGAGAAAGGAAGAGCCAGGAGAGGAATACATGTGG